ATTATTAAAAAAAATTATGCCTACTATAGACAAGATGGAAAGGAACCGTGGCTCATTGGCCTGTAACCAAAGACAAGCGAACATTATGAGAGCTCCTTAATGTACATCACTGTGAATGGTCAAACTTGTCACAGGAGCATATTTTACTTAAGAAATATGATGGGGAAAGTCATGGAAAGATAAAATAAATTTTCTCGCCAAGAGTCCCCTAGTATTACTTATTTAAAATAAAACTACGCCCACACTGTTTCTCTCACCCCAGTCTGAGACAGACCTTATGTCTCTTAATTCACTTTTCTTCTCCCTGCTCCAAATAGTACTTTGGGTGGTAAGAAGAAGGACATTGTATATAAACTACTGGTTTGAAGTATATAGACAGGAAAATGGAATACAAAAGCAAATGAGAAGTGTGAATAAGGAAAAAAAAAACATTGGGTGACCGCATGACTTCATGTGACATCAGATCACATAAAAAGATCAGAGGCTCACAAAATCAAATGAATCTTTGCCTTCCTTGGAGTAAGTCAATCTATTAGAATCAAAGTTACATCGAAGCTAAGTCTGACTGGTGAAGAGAAGGAATAGATAAACTGACTTTACCTCTAACAGAGCACCACCTGTCCTGGGCTCCCTGCTTTGAGCTACAGCTACCTCATCTCCCATCACTGCTGAAGATGGAGTCCCAGGACCAGTCAGGTGTCAACGTCAGAAATTTTAGGGGAGAGTGAGAGAACCAGACACACAAAAACAGAGGAAGTGACACAAAGTGGAAAACTTATCCTCACCCCACAATTCCCCCCATACCTCACATCCCTTCTGTGACTGACCTGGGAGATCCAGGCAGAATGTCAGGTTGAGGTGACCCTCATTTCCACTTGAAGTGTCTCAATAAAAGGAGAGCCTAGGACTAATGGGGGCAACCTCAGTTCTGTAGAGAGTAGAGACCCAGAAACTAACAGGAAAGAAGGTGAGGATCCCAAGTGATATGAGGAAACCACCTCTAGCAGGAGAGGTCACACATTCCAAGCACTTTGTTCTTAGTCTTGCCAGGCTCACTAAAGTTCTCAGCTCAGGATCCCCTTATTTTTGCCTGGAGAGCCAAAGGAGGGGAGTAACTGTACAAAGGAAGTAGACCCAGTTCTGCTGAGGAAGGAGGCCTGGGTCTTAACTGGAGTCCTGGTGAGTACCCTAGGTACTGTAGAGAGGCTTTCTCTCCAAAAGATGGCTCCGAGCAGAGTCCAGCCCCTGGTGGCAGAACTGGGAGCCCCAGGCAGGGGTATCCAGATGGAATGGGCCCTGAATTCCCCATCTATAGAAGCAAAGAATATGTGATATTAGTGGTCTCAGTTCAGAAGAGAGAGGTGTCCCAGACTAGGATTGGTATCTATGGGGTCCCCTAGTGTCCGGGCCCCTAGGACTCCCCACAATACGAGTGGCCGGAAGTGACGTATTCTGACTTCCGCCTTGGACGTTTTCTGAGGGTGAGGGATCGTGGTCTGAGGAGTGTACACTCAGGCCACTAGAATTCCAGGGCTGGTTAGGTATCAAGGTAAGGACCCTAAGTATGGACTGAAGGGACCACCCACAAGTGGCTAAGGAGATCCCTAGTGCTCCCCACCCAGGCCCCACCCACCCTTTTTTGACCCCTCCGTCCCTGGAGTTCTTGGAATCCCCGGTTGAGCTGAGGCACTGACTTCTGCCCAAAGGGTTCCAAAGACAGGAGGACTTGGTCTAAGGGTGTAGCTCCAATGTTGCAGAGGGAGGGAGACCTAGACCTTAATAGAAGTGAGGACCCTGGTTGCTAATGAAGAGACCATGCTCCAAAAGAGGGGCCTTCTAGAGCCCGACCTCTGGTGTCAGGACTGGGAGCCCCCGGCAGGGATGTCCAGATGGAGTGTGCCCGTAATTCCCCATCTAGGGAGGCAGGGGACGTGTGATATTGGTATTCTCAGTTCAGAGGTAAGAGGCGTCTCAGGCTAGGATTCGCAACTATGGGGTGCCATAGTGTCCTGCCTTTTGGGAGCCCCTCCTCAGCTCTGGCCGGAAGTGGCTGTTCTGACTTCCGTCCTGGAAGTGTTCCAAGGGTGAGGATCGTGGTCTGAGGTGCACACACAGGCCACTAGAATTCAAGACTGGGTATCTAGGTAAGGAATCTTAGTGTGGCCTAAAGGGACCACCTTCATAAGCCAAGAGGATCACCTAGTGTTCCTTGCCCCACCCCCTCACCACAACCCCAGACCCTTGGCTCTGGGTGTCCCAGGCTGAGCTGCGGCATTGACTTCTGTGTAGAGGATTCTAGGGGGGAGAGGACCTGGTCTAAGGATGTGGCCTCAATTATTCAGAGTGAGAAAGTCTAGGCCTTGGTAGAAGTGAGGACCCTGATTGGTAATGAGGAGACCACGCTCCAAAAGAGGGGGCCAGCCACAGTCCCGCCTCTGCTGTGAGGCCTGGGAGCCCCAGGCAGGGGTGTCCACATGGAGTGTCCCTAGAATTCCCCATCTAGGGAGGCAGGGAACATGTGATGCTAGTGGTCTCAGTTCCACAGAGGCAGAAGTTCCAGGGTCGAATTGCTACCTTGAATCCCATGAAGTCCTGCCCTTGCTGTCAGCCCTGGGGGCCCCCTGCACATCTTTGACCGGAAGTTGTTTACCCTGACTTCCGCCTTGGAAATTTGGCGAAGCTAAGGGGTGGGACCTCAGGCCACTAGAATTCTAGGACTGGTTAATTATCAAGGTGAGGACTCTGGGTGTGGACTGAAGGGATCACTGGCATGTAGCAAGGGGATTGCCCAGTGCTTCCCAGTCCCTTTCCTGCTCCCTCAGCCCAGAGAGTCCCTGGCTGAGCTGTGGCGCTGACTTCTGCCACAAGGGTTTCTGGGAGGGGAGGACTTGGCTACGGATGTGGCTCCCCTTCGTCTGAAGGAGTGAGTCCTAGGCCCTAATAGAAGCGAGTACCCTGATTGCTAATGAAGAGACCTCACTCCCAAAAAAGAGGATGAACAAAGTTCAGCTCCTGGTGTCAGGATTGAAAGGCCCCACACAGATGGAGCTAGATGTGGAATGCCCAGAAAGTGAAGATTTGGTCTGGGCCTTACTGACTCAGGTCAGTGGAGTGAGGAAGTAGAAGACCGACCCTGAGCAATGTTCAAAACCCTGGCCAAGAACAGTGGAGTCCCATAGAGTCCCATCTTTGCTGTCATACCTTGCAGGCCTTAAAGAGTATAGACAGGATATGGCTTACTCTGAACTTCCAACTTTTGAGGTCCCATTTAAGAAAAAATCTTGTGAAGGACCTAGTTTCAGGTCAGCTAAGGACAGATGTCTGGATATCCTAGACAGATCAGGGATCAAGGCAAGATCACTCAGCATCAATGGTGAGGGATACACTGAGCCTTGGCCCTGTGAGGCCCAGCGCATAGCTGAGAGACTCAGATGCTCCCGGATTTTAGGCTGAAGAATTTCATTAGATGAGGGTTTTAGTTTAAGGACTGGCTCCCCAGGTCCAAAGAGAGAATAGTCCTAAACTTTGTTGGGAGTGTAGGTAAAAATCTTGTATGAGGAATGAGGGAAACAGCCACTCCAACACAGAGGAGGCTTCATGAATTCTCTCACCTCTGTGGTCTGTCTTGGGAAGTCATGGGCAGAGCTGTTAGAATGAAATGATCTCTCATTCCTGACATAGGGGTGGTGTCACAGAGGAGTTAATCCCTTGCAATAATGAGTGAAGCCCCATTCATCAGTGGGTGGAGACTTAGTCCCTAACAGGTATCAAGGTGAGAGCACTGAGTGAGATGAGGGAACGCTTCTTAGAAACAAGTGGGCCACATAGAGTCCCACCCCGGTTATCACACCTGGGAGATCCAGGCATGCTGACTTGGTGAGTGGCATTCATTTTGTCCTAGGGAGATAGAGAATGTGCTTAAAGGGGACAGCCTCAAGTCAGCTTATGGAGGTTTTAAAACTTTAGCAAGGAGTCAGGGTGATAACCCTGATGGCCTACTGGGCCAACCACCTCATAACTATGTGGGCAACACAGAAATTGTCCATTGCTCCCAGTCTTAGGAGACCATGAGCTGTTGTGGCCAGATGGGGTGACCAATTTTTATTTGGGGTGTTTCAGAATCGAGGCGTTAGTATTAAGGAATAAGCCTCAGGTCAAGACAAAGATGTTTTCTAGGTTGTGACAGAAGTCGGGGAGGACCCCGAGTGAGGACCCAGAACACCCACCCAGAACAGGGGGAACCACAAAGTCTTGCTTCCCTCTCAACCCTAGGAAACCCCAGGAGAGATAGTCAGATACAGTGCTCTTTACTCACAGCCCTGGGGCTCAGGGTGATGAGGACCTTGGTCTGTGCTGCAAGACTCTGGTGGGATGAGGGCCAAGTCTCAGATCCTGCCTAAGTGAGGAATAACAGGGCCACCAGCCCCAGAATATCAGAGGCTCTGAGAGTTCAGACTCTGCTAGCAATCCAGGGTGGCCATGAACAGGGGTGGTCGAATGTGATTTATGCTTCCTTTTACCTTGGAGATTTTAGGAAGGTGAAGACCTTGTCCTGGTGGAAGGGGCCTCAGATGAGCCAAAGGTGACTTACAGGTTGGCCCAGGAGTTGCAGTGAGGACCTTGAGGACTGCAGGAACCCCCATCCCATATTAGCAGATCCCTTCTTATTTCATTCCTGAGAAGCCTGGGACATAGATGCCAGGGAGAGGCCTCCTCAATTCCTCCTTGGAGGAAACAGAAAAGTGAAGATCTTGGTCTGAGAAGAGTCATCACAGGCAGGGCTGGCAGACCACAGCCTAAGATGCACTCTGACTCCCTTCACAAGGTCCTCAGGGGACAGGATGACCTGGAGTAGTATTCTCAAGGACTCTTGCACAAGAGCATTCTAAAAATCAATGAAGTGTCACTCTGCCAAAGGGGTTCACACCATCTCGTCCTCTTCCTCCTTCAGGTACCCACATCCTGCACACTCCTGCCTGCTGTCACTGAGCATAGTCATCATGCCTCGTGGTCATAAGAGTAAGCTTCGTGCCCGTGAGAAGCGTCGCCAGGCTCATGGTGAAGATCCAGATCTCAGGGGTTCTCAGACCTCTGCAGTGGAGGAGGAAGAGTTCCCACCTTCCCTGTCTCCTTGTGGGAGTGCTTCCCAGAGTGCCTCTGCTGCAGGCCTTCCTCAAGAGTCTCAGAGAGCACGATTCACCAGCCCTCCTGCATCAGCTTCTTCATGCGCAGATTCTGATGAAGGTGCCAAGAGCCAAGATGCTGAAAGTCTGAGCTCCTTTCACACCGGGGCCTCCTCTGAGGGCTCAGACCACGATCCTCTGTACAGGAAGACGGGCAAGTTGGTGAGGTTTCTTCTGGATAAGTATAAAACGAAAGAGTCTATTACAGAGGCTGAAATGCTGAAGATTGTTAACAGAAAATACAAGAGGCACTTCTCTGAGATCCTCAAGAGAGCCTCTGAGAGCCTGGAGCTGGTCTTTGGCCTTGACCTGAAGCAAGTCGACCCCAGCAATCACACCTATGCGCTTGTGCCTAAGCTGGCCCCTTCTGATGAAGGGAATCTGAGCCATGGTAGGGGTCTTCCCAAGAATGGGATCCTGATGCCTCTTCTGGCCATGATCTTTATGAATGGCAATCGTGTCAGTGAGGAGAAGATGTGGGAATTCCTGGAAGACATGGGGCTCCATGATGGTAGGAAGCACTTCCTCTATGGGGAGCCCCGGAAGCTCGTCACCATAGATTTGGTTCAAGCAAAGTACCTGGAGTACCAGCAGGTGCCCAACAGTGATCCTCCATGCTACGAATTCCTATGGGGTCCAAGGGCCCATGCTGAAACAAGCAAGATGAAAGTCCTGGAGTTTTTGGCCAAGATTAATAATACCGTTCCTAGCACCTTCCAGTCTCGGTATGAGGAAGCTCTGAGAGATGAGGAAGAGAGATCCCGAGTCAGAGCTGCAACCAGGGCTGGCGCTACTGCTGTGGCCAGGGCCCATGCCAGAGTCTCATCTAGCAGATGTTCTCAGCCCTAGTGAAATACGAAGCAGTCTTCACGTCGAGGTTGAAAAGGGCTGTCAACCATCTAGTGGGGGTGAGATAAAGCTGGAGAGAGCATAATGGATGCCTTCTTTGTGTTCCTGTTATTCATAAATATCTTTTGGATTTATCTTTTTTTTCTATTTCTTCAATGTGTTCCTTTTAAAGAGGTTTATTTAGATTCAGAATCTTAAGTTTATAAATGACCTGGTTCACATAATTATTGCTGTTTATCGAGTTTAAGAATAATAGTTTTGTATTTGGTAAAATAAACTGGAAATCCTTGCTTCTTTATTTGTGATCTAGTACAAAAAAAAATAACATTGGAATAGAGATTTGCTTTAATATGTGAAAGAACCCAACAGTGAAATAGTTGGGATCACCAGAGGGTGGAAAAAATGTAAATGTGGCCAATGGCTGCTTTTTCTTATTCCTTTCAGTCTTTTCTTTTGGTAATGTTAAAAGATAAATACTTGGATTTGCTTAGCTTAGACAAGACTGTGGGAGAAATTAAATCATCATAACTCATAACTTTTGTCCATGGCTCTTTTGTTCCCCAAACGTGAATTCAGCCCCTGCACCTTGAAAAACTTCATGTTAGTTCTAAGAATGCATAGACAAAAAAGACCCAGCCCTTCCTATAACATATGAGAATCCAAGAGCAGCATCAAATGAGGAACACTGGGAGAGACACTGTAATACCTAAGGGACCCCAAAGGATGGAGGAAGTGGGGAGGAGCATTCTGGTACGTATGACCTGGGCCAAGGCAAGTTGGGAACTTGAGAAACTGCCAGTTCCTTGGTGGGAGGGAATTTTAAGTTAGGCAGCACCGGGAGCTACAAGAAGCTATGGAAATGGGGGGCAAGGACCAGGCTCTCCTATGGTCTGTCTCAGAGTGGAGAGAATACGCCTGCAGTGGAAATCTGCTCCTAACAGTTCTGTAAGGATGTGGTAGACCAGAAAGGAATCCCCACCTGGGGCAGGATTGGAAGGGCTCCTGTCCTCTTGCGTCCATACAGGTGAACACAATGTACTAAATAGGAGTTTTGCACACTCTGTCAAGGAGTGTCAAGGTGGTGCTCCCTTAAGGTATTTTGTTCAGTGGCCCCTGGCTGGCCCTTGTGGCCCTGGCCTGGGGGAGCCAGACTACTCCGTTAAAAGGGGGACCCAATTAAGTTTCTGAATAGTATGGCAAACTCTAAACTAGGTCAAAATGTTTGGTGGTGGTGAGACAAATGCAGATATGAATGAGTTAAATGCAAGGGCAGCTAGGAGGGAGGAAGGTTGTTGGTCATTTGCACACCTTCTAAGAACCTGGTGGTGCATCTACCTGGGGAAGTCGATTTCACACTCATATGAAATGAAGGGGAATTATCACTTAGTTGTATTTACTAAGCAGTATTTTGGCTGTTATTTTTCCTCTGTTCTAGAACATTGGGTATTCTGTTACATCTACTGAATTAAAAAAAAATCCAACCAGGCATGGTGGCTCACACCTGTAATCCCAGCACTTTGGGAGGCGGAGTCTAGAGGATTGTAGGTGTTTCACACACAGGATTTTATGAAGGTGACCAGGGATTCAAAATTAGCCTAGGCAACTTGGTGAGACCTTGTCTCTACAATAAATAAAAAAAATTAACCAAGCCAGGTGGCGCACGCTTGCAGTCCCAGCTACTCAGGAGGCTGAGGCAGGATTGCCTGAGCCCAGCAGGTTGAGACTGTGGTGGCCATGAACGTGCCACTTTTCTCCAGCCTGAGCGGCAGAGTGAGACTTCAGCTAAAAAAAATCCCAGTGTGGTGCATAGTATTGTCCGAGGTCAAAATAAGCATAGTAAACAACTGTCATCATAATGATTCTCAATACTTGCCAAGCACTGTGCTGAGCTGACAGCATTCATTCCATACACCCACCATTCCTAGAAGACGGGGCTTGTCAAATATGCTCCACAGAGAAAGAGCCTGAGACTCAGAATTTGCCAATGTGTCTGAGGTCATAAAGCTGGTTGGTGGCTGGGCTGGTGCCAGTCCCACAGTCCAAATCTGTCCAAAGCCCACACTGGCCCACTTCTGCCAGCCTGAGACAGATCTTGTGTGACCTAATGCACATTTCTTTTTACTACTCCACGATGTGTCTCAGGCAATAAATAGAGGACTCTGTGTAAAACTACTGGTTTGGAGCATGTATCAGAGCAATAAGAATACCAAAGTAAATGGGTGGTATGAATGAAGAGAAAACATTTGGTGACATTCTGCTCCACCTCTTGCCTGTAGAAAGTCAATCTACTAGAACTGACATTATGCCAGAAGCGAAGTCTGGCTGGTGAAGGAATAAATCAACTGGCTTTATCTCTGACAGTCAACCACTTGTCCCAGGGTCCAGTTCAGGTGGCATACGGTCCTACTTCTGCTGATAAGCCTTGCAAGCCCCATAGAGCCTTTGCAGATGTGGCTTACCCTGACTTTCCCTCAGATGTTTCAGGAAGTTGAAGACCTTCATCTTACGCATGATCTCAGAAAAATGGAGAATAGAGTTCCAGGACTGCTCAGGTATCTCGGTGAGGACCCTGAATGCAGACTGAAGGGACCGCTTTACCTGTTACCAAAGGGACTGCCCACTGCTCTGCTTCTATGCTCAACCTTGAGAGGGTGGACAGAGCTGTGGGCTGACTTCTGCCTGGTAGGTCTCAGGGAGGAGCGGGTCTTGGTCTAAGGAATTCTTCACAGAGGAGGTCTAAGACCTAACTGGAGACCAGATGAAGAAGACAAGTGCTAACCAGGGAACCTCTCTCCAAAGGAGATTGGAGACAGAGTCCCACCCTTGTTGTCAGTGCTGGGAGCCCCAGGCAAGGGTAGTCATATGTGAAAGGCCCCAAAGTCTTCTTCTATGAGGGAGAAGGAGATGACAATCTTCTTTGGAGGCTTTTAGACTCAGGTCAGTAGAGGGTCTTCTACGGAGTCCAAGATAGAGTATATCCTCACTGAGCTGTCAGTACTGGATGTCCCCTGGCAGAGGTGGTGGGTTGAGATGTCCCTTCTTTTCTTTCTAGGGGATTCCAGGGAAGTGAATGCCAAGTTTGAGGCATCAGCTTCAACAAAGCAGAGGGAAGGGTCCCAGGTTCTCTCAACAGTTAAGATGATAGTGCTGAATGTGAACTCAGAGGTTTCTAGGGTTAGAAAGACCTCACTATCAGCCCTTAGTGTCAACCCCAGCAACCTCAGGTAGGGCTGGCAGACTGCAGCATGAGGCACACTCTAAGCTAGGTCTAGATGTTTGGTGGTGGTGAAACAAATGGAGATAGGGATGGCTAAATGCAAGGGCAGCTGGGAGGGAGGAAATTTGCTAGTCGTTTGTACACCTTCTAAGAACCTGATGGTGCATCTACCTGGAGATCATCTCATGGGGAATTATTACTTAGCTGTATTTACTAAGCAGTAAATTTTGACTTTTTTTCTTTCTCCTAGAACAACGGGTATTCTCTTACATCTACTGGATTAAAAAAAAACCATCCAGCCAGGCACGGTGGCTCACACCTGTAATCCCAGCACTTTGAAAGGCGGAGGCTAGAGGATTGTAGATGTTTCACACACAGGATTTCATGAAGGTGACCAGGGATTCAAGATCAGCCTGGGCAACTTGATGAGACCTTGTCTCTACAACAAATCAAAAAAATTAGCCACAATGAGATACTATTTCATACCACAGAATGGCTATTATTAAAAAGTCAACTTTCTCCACGGGGTCCACAGGGGACAGGAGTCCTTAGCTGTGGGGTCCCAGAGCAGTGCCCCAAAGGACACCTGCACAGTGGCCTTCTGAACGGCAAGGTGATAGCTCCCTGCTGAAGGTGCTCACACCCTCTCCTCTCCCTCCTCTAGGTGCCTGCATGCTGTGCCCTCCTGCCCCACTGTTCCTGAACCCAGTCATCATGGCTAGTGATTAGAAGAGTAAACTCCATGCCCACGAGACGCCCTGGGAGGTCTGAGATGAGTCCCAGAGACTTGAGGATGCTCAGACCATTGCAACAGTAGAAGAAGTGTCCCCATTCTCCTCTCCTGTTTTGGGGGGTGCTTCCCAGAGGAAGGACAGTACCAGGTTACATGGTACTCTCCAGGGGTCTCGAGTGCTCAGTCCATCACCACTATTTTTTGTAGGTGTTTCACACACAAGATTTTATGAAGGTGACAAGAATGAAGAGAGGGAAATGACAAATTCCTTTCATGCTCAAGTGAATATGTTTATAGCAGCATTCATTAGAGTGAAGTCCTTTTACGGGGCCAGGTAATGCAAGCATGCTATGAAATGTCTTTTCCAATGAGAGATAACTCATCACATCACTCTTTAAATTAACCCAACAGGCATTCAGAGCAGTGGTCTTGATCAACATACCCACAGATAGTAAAAAACGGGCAAAATGAAAACTGAGAACTAAGGCTGGGAGGAGAACCAGGGGAGGAAGAGCTTACTTCAGAAACCCTCAGATGTGTAGCACTGTCTCGTTGGGGTTTTAGTTTGCATTTCCCTGTTTACTAATGAGGTTGATGGACTTTCCATTAGTTCATTGCCCATTTGGATATCTTCTTTCATGAGATGTTTGTTTAAAATCTGTACTCATTTTTCTGTTAGATTGTTTGCTTTTTCCTTATTCATTTTTATATAAGTCCTGTATATTTTGAATATAATCCTCACAAAGTTAATATGTTTTGCCAAGATCGTCTTGCACAATACAGCTTGCCTTTTCGTAATCTTTATGGTGAGTTTTAAGGAAGTCTTTAATTCTAAGGATTTCTCTTAAATTTATCAATGCCTTCCTTAAGGTTTTGTGATTTGTATTTCTTGTCTAAGAATTCCTGTCCCAGTCAGTTCCCAAAGGAAGATGTCCAAACAGCCAACAAACATATGAAAAAATGCTCAATATCACTAATTATCAGAGAAATGCAAATCAAAATCACAATGAGATACTATTTCACACCACAGAATGGCTATTACTAAAACAT